ACTCCATGGTTTCTTCCCCAAACCCCAAAAACTTCAACCTTAGACTGTCTACTATTGACCTCACCCCTTTCCTAAGAGGTCTGTAGGGGGCGTGCATAAGCGCACCAATGTGCCTACCGTCCCTGTCCTATTGTTTCTTTCTTTTTCTTATTTGTATCCATTTCATGTATTCATAACCACGTTTATACTTGTACCTGTTATCTAATAATCACTTGCCAAAATAAATAAATAAATAAATAAAGTATGTCTGCCCTCTACACAACCCCCAATGTAGCTCCCCTCGGTCCTTATGTCCAGTCTCTTCTTAAAAACCTCTAGTGATGAAGCACCCACGACTTCTAAAGGAAATCCATTCCACTGGTTAATTGTTAATACCACATTTATTTATATAACACTAATAAAACAAATAGAGATTGGACTGCCATCTGTCAGAAATGGTGTAGGGTCTCCCGCTTGGGCGGGGGGTTGGACTAGATGACCTATAAGGTCCCTTCCAACTCTGATCATCTGTCTCTGAAATATGATCAAATGATACTTTCAAGGATATATATTTTCATGTATGGTTTTTATTATATTAGTTTTATTAGTGTTATATAAATAAATGTGGTATTAATAATAATTAATAATTTACCCGTGGAACGGATTTCCTTTGGAAGTTGTGAGTGCTTCATCACTGGAGTTTTTAAGAAGAGACTGGGCTGCCACTTGTCTGAAATGGTATGGGACCTCCTGCTTGAGCAGGAGGCTGGACTAGAAGACCTCCAAGGTCCCTTCCAGCTCTATTCTGATGGAATTAATGCCACAGCAACCCGAATAGAAATAACAAACTTTAACAGATAGTTAGGATTGCAGAAAAAAAGAATCGCCACCAGCCTGCCTTCCACTGAGGACCTGTATACTACACAGGTTGGAAAAGGGGTTGAGAAAATATCTACAGACCCCTCACATCCTGGATAATAAACTGTTTCAACTTCTCCCCCCGGGATGCCACTACAGCGCATTGGATGCCAAAAAAACTAGACACAAAGATAGTTTATTCCCCCTGTGTCACCACTCTCCTGAACACTTAATTCCCACTTCTCATTTTTTCTCATCTTTCCTACTACCTTCTCCTCTTGGTTTCTTAGGATTGACCAGTTGTGGTTTGTAACTTGTGATTAATGATTGTAACTGTGATTTATGACCTACAACCTATTTACTTGCAGTGTTGTATGTACACTGAAAGTCTATGCACCAGAGACAAATTCCTTGTGTGTCCAATCCCACCTGGCCAATAAAGAATTCTATTCTACAGGTAGTCTTTGACTTACAATAGTACACTTAATAACCGTTGAAAGTTATAACGGCACTGAGAAAAGTTACTTATGACCATTGTTCACACTTACGACCGTTGCAGCATCCCCCATGGTCAAAGCGATTTACGCTTGGATGCTTGACAACTGGCTCACATTTATGACGGTTGCCATGTCCCGGTGGGAGGGGACACGTGATCCCCCTTTTGCATCCATATGACGAGCAACCTCAAGGGGAGAAACCAGATTAACTTAAGAGCCGTGTTACTACTTTAAGAACTGCGGTGATTCGCTTAACAAATGCGGCAAGGAAAATCATATAAAGTCAGCCAAAATGGGCCCAAAGAGCTGAAGAAACTTCTTGGAGGAGAAGCGAAACATCTTCAAAAGAAAAACCAGAAAGTTCAGTTGCCTCTTGAAAAAAGCACCTCTGGGACAACTGAGGACCCAGACAAACCTCCAAGTGGCGTCAATGATTCTCTAAAAAGGATGCAAATGACCAGCTGTCTGCAAGGAGTATCAATCCTTCCATTCCCTATCATCCAGTCAGAGCTGAAGAAGCTTCTTGGGTGAGAAGCGAAACGTCTTCAAAAGAAAAAAAAACAAGAAAGCCCAGTTGCCTCTTGAAGAAGCACGTTTGGGACAACCGTGGCCTGGATGATTGAGAATCTCCATAGACCCAGGGGCCTGCAACCTTAAACACTCAAAGAGCCATTTGGACCCATTTCCCACAGAAAAGAAAACACCATGAGCCATAAAACCTGGGTGGGCATGGCCAACTCTATGCCACTCCCACCCAGTCACATGACATCCACCACCCCCACGCCTACCCAGGTTTTGTGGCTCCCGGTGTTTTCTGTGGGAAATGGGTCTCTCTCTCTCTCTCTCTCTCTCTCTCTCTCTCTCTCCCTCTCCCTCTCCCTCTCCCTCTCTCTCTCTCTCTCTCTCTCCCCCTCCCTCTCATTTCTGTTTTTTGTGTTTTACCTTCTCAGGCCAGGCGAGGAGTGACTGGGAGGGGAGGGTCAGGATCAGGGCCAGCCAGTGATGGGATCACCCAACAGGGAGCCAGAGCAGAGGGCCCAAAGAGCCACATGAGGCTCCAGAGCCGCAGATTGCTGATACCCGCCATAGACCTTGGGCCAAAATTCACTTAATTAATTTCTCACTTAGCAACATAAATTTTGGGCTTAAAAATTTGAGGACTGCCTGTATACCAACCATGGAACTGACTTTGTGGCATTTATATGCAACTGCAATGCTGTCTCCCCAAACCCACCCACACCAGAGGTGGTCTTCAGCAGGTACTGACCAGTTCTGGAGAACCGGTAGCGGAAATTTTGAGTCGCTCAGAGAACTGGCAAATACCGCCTCTGACTGGCCCTGCCTCCATCTATCTTCTGCCTCCCATTGAGTCCCAGCTCAATGGCTGGGTTTTCTTTGGTTGCTCTTCACAGGAGAACGGAGCTGGAAAGCAGGTTAGTGGGGTTGGGGGGAGAATGAGGATTTTGCAGTATCCTTCTCCTGCCATGCCCACCAAGCCACGCACACAGAACCGGTAGTAAAAAAAAATATTGAATCCCACCACTGACCCACACCCCAAGTTAAATAGCAGTGGGAGTTGGTTGTGGATAATCAATCACAGGGCGTGAAAGCAGGGGACTACAGCTGCCTACCACCCTTCCTTTACCCTAGAACTTAACTTATCTCAAGATAAAAGACCCTCTCATTCATATCTTGAGATAATGGGTTTTTTTATCTGGGCAGGTCCAGGATTAGTGGTTTATCGCTTGTACATAACCTTGCCTTTTTTTAAGGGGCACCACAAAGAATGCACCTTGTCTTGAGAGCCACACAATATAGTCTTTGTAATCCTTGCAGTGGGGTTTCTGGAGTGCTGTTGTTTCCTTCTATTCTAAATTTGCCTTTTTTTTAAAAAATATGTATTGCTAACGATTGGCCCGAAGCTTCAAGAAAGGCCTCTTTTTAAGAAAACCAGGACTGGCAAGAAAGCGTTTGATAGAGGTAGTCCTCGACTTACAACAGTTCATTTAGTGACCGTTCAAAGTTACAACGGCACTGAAAAAAAGCGACTTACGGCCGTTTTTCAGCAGCATCCCTGTAGTCACATGATTTATATTTGGATGCTTGACCAAAGATTAATAGTGATGACGGTTGCAGCAGAGGTGGGATTCAAATAAAATTACTACCGGTTCTTTGAACGTGGCATGTTGGCCATGGCTTGGTGGGCGTGGCAGGGGAAGGATACTGTAAAATCTCCATTCCCTCCCCACCCCACTAACCTGCTTTCCAGTTCCTTTCTCCTGTGCAGGGCAACAAAAGAAGACCCAGGCAATCAGCTGGGACTCAATGGGAGGCAGAGAAGAGATGGGGGCGGGGCCAGTCAGAGGCAGGATTTGCCGGTTCTTCGAGCTACTCAAAATTTCCGCTACCGGTTCTCCAGAACTGGCCAGAACCTGCTGAATCCCACCTCTGGGTTGCAGTGTCCCTGCGATCATGTGAACCTCTTGGGAGACCTTCTGATGAGTGAAATCCATGGAGAAGCCTGATTCACTTAACAACCGGGTTACTAGCTGAACACCTGCAGTGATTCACTTAACAAATGTGGTGAGAACGTTAACAAAATGAGGCGAAACTCACTTAGTAAGTTTCTTACTTAGCAACATAAATTTTGGGCTCATTTGTGGTCATAAATCAAGGACTACCTGTAGATTGTAGATGACGGTTTTTATTTTCACCTGTTTTCAAGCTCCATGAACAAAAGCAAATATTGAGGCCCAAAGACAGGAAGCGCTGAGAATCTATGTTATCTATACACATTCTGACATGTTTTTCTTTGCAAATGTTTCTTTGGCTTCTATTCAGAACTAGCTCGATACCCGTACTTCGCTACAAAACTATGTGGTCGGGCTTAAATTTTGGAGAGGAAAGTAAAGAGGAAAAAATTCTGTCTCTGCCTACCACCATCCATCGATATTCAATTAGCTAGTGTCCTGTCAGTGTGTGAGGAAAGTTGAGGGCTGTTTGGAAACTGAAACAGCATTTGCTGTGTGGGCAAGAAGGAGACAGCAAGGACTTTGGGTGTGGCTTAGTTCAACTGTTCTGTACTGAAGCTGCTTGGTGCTGTGAAACTGAAACTGAAACCGAAACTCCACTCCTCTGCTTGTGTTTCGCATTTGGAACAGATTTCTTTTCAGGTGGGGAGGGGGAGTAGAACTCCTTAGCATCAGAGCGTAATAATAATAATAATAATAATAATAATAATAATAATAATAATAATAATAATAATA